GCCAGACCTCCTTGACTCTGAGTGCAGTGAGGAAGCAGGGGCTAGAGGATATTGGGAGTAGACCAAAACTACTTTGCAGAGCAAGGATCGCTTGAAGAAGTTGATCTAGGTGATTGCATCTGGCTTGAGCCTTTATCCCCAGAGAGTTCTGGAGATGGAAAAGCGTGACACTCGCCCCTTCTCCACACATCATCTGACCAGAAAGTATGACCAGGGTGGTCCAGGGAGGTTTCAGGTTAGTCAGTTTTCACCCTTTTCATAACCTCACCCCACTGACAACCTCAGCTGTTCCATAAGACGCCCCCCCGTGAGTTCCCCCCCAGACCTCCTGTGCTTTGGTCATATGCAGGGATGGGTGGGGCCCACAGACCCTTTTCCTCCTCCCAAAGCTGCTGAAACTCCCAGTGTGTTGGTGAGAGCTGGAAAAGACCCTCAGAGTTACCGTAATTGTCCTGGGAACTGAAACAGGATGGCAGTGAGACCTGAGGTAGGACTTCTGATAATCAAGGAAACAAGATTTGGAAGCACAGATTGGATTTTGCTTCTGTCTTCAACCTCCCTGGGATCAACTCTGTCCCCTGACCCCATATATACTACCCTCTAAACCCCTAATTCATGACCCCAACCATCCTCAACCTCTACCAGATCCCCAGAGCTCCACAATATGGTGGTGTGCTCACCTGTTCCTTTCTCAGGAGACTAAGTTTTCAGGAGAAGAGCCAGGCTGCAAAAGGAGCTCTGGCCTCCGTCTCCCCTGACCCCAGTCTTCCTAGGGAAAAGTTGGTTCCACCCTAGCCGGAGGGATTGAGGCTAGACAACGAGGCTGACAAAGGCCCCACGGAGGCTCCAAGCAGCCTGGAGCTGGAGGAGATGGCTTGGAGAGTCAGGTGTCTCCCTCCGAGCCTGGCTTCACACTTTCCCTTCCCACAGTACACCACAGGGAGCTCACAAGGAGCATGGCAGTAATAGTATTGTTGTTATTCTGTATTCTACAGCACTCACTGCTACGTCTGTTGTTCCATACATATGTTAACTTATTTAGTCCTCACCATGTGCATCTTAATGAAGTAGGTACTATTACTATCCCCATTTTACAGATGAAGAAACTAAAGAGTCGAGAGTTGGAATCTGTCAGGAATCCAGCAGGAACGATATATTAGGGCTTCACTGAAGAGAGTTTATGTAAGGACTATTTACAGAGGCGGGGCAAGGGCACAAGAGGTGGCCCGGGCACTCATAGCAGGCAGCCATTCCCTGGAGACAGTAGGAAAGAGCAGTGTTACTGGACGCAGTGAAAGCCCTGGAAGAGGCATGAATACCCTGACTTTCCTCCCCCACACGCTCCTTGCCTTCTGATTTCCCAGCTGTGCCTCCGACTTAGCAAACCCACCTGGAAACCAGAGGGCAAGAGGGCCCAGGTGATGCAGCCCACAGACGTTACTAGCCTACTAGCCCCCCGGGGCCGTAGAGCTGGTGGAGATTGAATCTGGAGGCAATGGAGACCACATGCCCAAGGGCCCGTGGCTGGGAAGAGCTGGTATGGAACACAGGTGATATGGACCCAGAGCCCTGCTCCCTGAGAGGTTGCAGAGTGCTGCCTGGGGAAGGGGTCGAGGGGAGCCAGCTGGGGACAGTGGGCTGGGTTCTAGTCCAGGCTTTGCTGCATGGCTCTGTGACCCTGAGTGGGACTCTGGGCCTCAGTTTCCCCTTTACTGGTGGGTGCCTCTCTGAAACAACCCAGACCAGGCAGAGTCTCTGTTCCCACTGCTACCCTCTTCCTTACCTCAAACCGGCCCCAGGCTTGGAGACCCTGAGTCCCTGAGGAGGCCGCCCCCAGCTGCTGGGCAGACACACCCACTTGGCCCGCTTAGGACTCACACATTCTATTGGTTCTACTCGGTGTTTCAAGGTGAGCCCCCTTAGTCTCCCTGAGGGCCCCGGGGCCTCCTTTCCTCCCTTTGCACTGCCAGCATTCCCAGGCCTACGACTCAAGCCAGCTCCCTCCTCCCAGCGAGGAGGTGCAGGGCCCCGCGGAGGCCAGGACCTTCACAGACCCTCCCTTGGGGGATCAAGGGTGTCTGGCCTGCCTCTGGGGTCTCTCTTCGGGGTGTAGTAGTCCCTCCTCTCCCCTTCCCACCCCACCCAACTCTACCCCACCCACATTTCCCCAAGCCTTGGGGTGCCCCACCCAGATTTTCAACAAACAAAATCAAGGGGAAAGAGTTAGCAAGAAGGAGGGAGCGCATTACCAGGAACTAAGGAGGAGGAATGCCCTGGGGTAAGACGGGTAGGAGAGTCACCCAGACTCTCCTAGGTGCTAGGTACACGCAGAGATGGGCTCCAAGTACACGAGATGTTCACTTAGAAGTACCCAAAAAAAGAGCCAGACACTTCGAGTCAGGCAGTGACGGAGACACACAGGAAGAGACCTCTGATCAGCCAGGGCACAGGCCCAGAGCCGCAACCAGACAGACTGAGAAAGACAGGCACACCCAGGAACACCAAGAGGTGCACACTCGCATGTGCACCACAGGGGCAGGCACACGAGGAAACCGAAACCAAACTCAGGTTTCAGGGAGGCTCATTTCAACGCAAACAAGTCAGGACTTTAAGGAAGTGTGAACTCCTCCGAGGTGGGCTGTGGAGAGCACTAGCTCAGGAGGAAGGGACAGAGGTGCGGTGTGGAATCTTGATTCTTTCTCCAAGTCCACCTTGGAAAATGGATTAAGATATTTTCCTAGAGGAGAGGACAATAGCTCAGTAGTAGGATGCGTGCTTAGCATGCACGTGGTCCTGGGTTCCTCCTGGGTACCTCCATTAAAAAAAGAAGACACACACAAAAAGATACTTCCCTAAAGGTGATGAAGAGGTTTCTTTCTAGAACTTGCTATCAGTCAGAACTGCTGATAGGAGGCATATCTTAGAAGGGAGTGGGGGAGATGGGAAGGTCCTTGGCCAGGCCTTCTGCCTTCTCTGGTGGTCTGACCTTCTGTCCCGTGTTCCCATGGCTGCAAGCTCCTCTGCCCTCTACGCCTGTGCCTGTGGCCCCTCTTGTGTCTCCCTTCTATTCCTCCCAAAGCTTCCTCAAGTTAGGGCACAGTAGGCCATCACCCCACTCTTCCTCCCCTTCTCAGGCACTTCAGAATCATGGAAAGATTCTGAGGAGGAAGAGGATATTGAATTCAATGACCTTTAAAAAACAGCCTTCAGCATTTCTCCTCCACCACCAACCCCACCCCCCACCCCGCTTCAGTTCTGCAGGAAAAATCACTAGGTGACATTTATTGACTATTTCCCATCCAAGGGTCACTTTGCTGTCCTTTTCATGAATTATCTTCCATGATCTCCTCCTCTCAATATCTCCCAATTCACAGATGAGGAAACTGAGGTTCAGGGAAAGAAAATGACCACCCCCAAGATCACACAGCTAGAGAGAGGCTGTGTGGCCTGGAATCCAGGTCTGACTACTCGTTCAACACCGTACCAGAGGGCCTCCCCAACCCCTGGGCTGACTGGTCAGGGTCAACTGTGGAATTTGAAAGAAAGAGATGCCAGAGAGCATGGAGCATGTTGGGGAGGAGCATAGGGTGGGGGCACCCAAAGTGGGACTGGTGTGGCTGGAATGAAACCCTGAAGCCCACATTCTCCTCTCGTGGTTTGCCCTTCCTCCCCCAGGGCCTGAGAAGGGGGCACTCCCTCTGGCCAGATCCCTTCAGCATTCCAGACACACCTCTTGGGAGCTGGGGACAAGGAGGGGTTGGAGACCTGAAAAGGAACTCCCTTCTCCCACTCGCACCTGCCCTGAGTCCAGGCTGTGTGACCATGCATTCACACCCACCCTCTCTGGGCCAAGGCCTCCTCATCTGTGAAGTGGCTGAGAAGCAAGAGTTGACTTATTAACCATACTTAAAATCCACAATTCTCCTTCCACTCTAGGGATCTTCTGGTTCCCATGGGGTTAACTCTGCAGGAGGCTTGGGTTGGGGCCGCCTCTCCTTTTATTCCAGGTGAAACTTAAGGAGGATTCAGTAAGGAAGGAGGTGAGACAGGGCACATGATCTCCAGGTGTGATCAACCCCTTGCTTTCCTGGGCAGTCAGGGCGCCAGAGTCAGTCAGTCCACCCCCAGCCTAACTGGACACAGGGGTGCCTCAGACTGAAGAACTGAAGCACAGCTGGAGGCAGCTGTGGTCTCTGGGCTCAGATAACTTACCATAGAAATGGTGGAAGAGTGGGGAAAGGCAGGGATGAGTTCCTGGAGGAGGCACTGGAGCAGATCTGGAGGATTGTAAGGAGTGGGCAGTGAGGTTGGGAAGGCACAGGAGCATACAAAGTAGGGGTCGGGGTGTGGAGCTTTGTGAGGGGAGGGGTGGGGACCAGAGCCAGGTCCTGGAGGACCTGAATGCAGTATGGAGGGTTGGGTTTTTTTTTTTAACTGAGCTATAGTAAGTGTACAATGTTGTGTCAATTTCGAGTGCAGAGCACAGATTTTCAGTCAAGTATGGAGGGTTTTGGGTGGCAGGGAGAGCCATGGAAAGAAGCCCACTTTCAGCAGGGGTTTCAGAAAAATCCCTCTGGTTGCTGTATGGACTGATTGGGGCAGTCATACATGCTAAGGGGACTGTGGCCAAGGTCTAGTTGGAGGCGATGGAGCTGATTGGTCTCCTCCAGCAACAGGGAGCTCACTGCTTCTTAGGTAGCAGTCATCCCCTTTGGGCAGCTCTGCCTGGGAGAAAGGTCTTTCCTAGGACAGGCTTCAGCATGCCTTCCTGGGACAGTGGGTGGTGTAAGGATCAGGAAGGAGATGTTATTCTTTATGCCGGGGGCTCCCAGGAGGATGGAAGTGCGGGATCACCTGGTTCAAGCTGAGCTGTCTGTGTGAGGGGCCTGCACCCCCAGGGCAGGTTCACGTACTACCCTTAGGGTGCCCTGGCTATCTGTGGCCAGACTCACTGAAGCTCCTTAACTGGCCCCAGAAAAACAGCAGAGCAAGTGGAGAGATATTTAAACAATTGGTATACATTTTATTGGTTTTTTTATAAAAGGCAAAAGAGTACATGTGTTGAGTGGAGGATTAAAAGAGTGAAGACCTATTTAGACTCTCCCAACCCCATCCCTAAAGCTGTAACATCTGCGCTATATATATATACATTTTTTTTTAAGAGCAAACATGAAACTTATGACCTGGACTTCACCCCACCCCTTTCATGCCTCCTTTGTGACAGAAACACGTCACTCTGCTCCTACTTATGTATGAATAGCCAGAGCTCCACACCTGGGCTGTGATCCTCTCCTCCCAGCCCTACTCATATTCCCACCCTACCTCCCCCAAACACCCCGACGTAGAAAAAAGCGCAGACACACACATACTCAGAAACACATGTCTGGACCCTTCTCCACATGGAGCCCCTGTAACATGCAGACCCCTGGCCTTTTCCTCACTCATAGACAGACATGTCACCTTCCCCCTTCCTCTCACCCACTCTCCTGCAGCTAGAATCCTTTCTACTTGGTCCCTTGCCCTGAATATCTGGAAAACCACACACCCGCACATGCACACACACTCACACACCTGCAGTCTGTTCTCTCTCTTTGGGAGACAAAGGGCTGTATTGGCCCTACTCCCTGTCCCAACACAGCTCAAGGGCAGTGGCCAATGGTCCTACTGGGGCAGGATGGAAGATCCCAAAGGGGGCTGTTCAGAGGGGTGGTGGTATACAAGCAGCTTCCTAGCCTGAGAGAGGGGTCATAAAGCGGGGCTTCTAGGGAGCAGCCCCTGTACAGTCAATGAATGCTCAAGGGAGGAGGCAGGGGGCAGATGGCCCCTGCCCCTTCACATCTGCTCCTTGTGCTTCACATGGGACAGTTTCACATTCTCCTCATCGGTGGAGGGTGGGGGCGGCTCCAAGTGGCAGCCGATCATGAGCTGGTACACGAAGACACCCGCAATGGAACCCAGGAGCGGAGAGACGATGGGCACCCACCACCAGTGGCGGCCGGTCCTGGGGACAGACAGATGTGGTCAGGCATGGGTGGAGCAGGGCAGAGGGGAAACAGGCTGGGGCACACTGGTGGGAGCTGCACTCACGTGAAGACTTCCGAGCCCCAGCCCGCAAGGGCGGTGAAAAGGCGTGGGCCGAAGTCCCGGGCAGGGTTGACGGCGTAGCCAGAGTTGAAGCCCATGGAGGTGCCAATGACCAGGACCACCAGGCCCACAGTGAAGGCCTCCAGGCCACGGGGGACAGGGTTGTTGTAGGGGTCCACAATGGCCAGCACACACACGATAAGGGAGGCTGTGCCAATGAACTGGAGAGCGGGGAGAACAGGGTGAGAGCTCCCTGCCAACCTCTGTGCCCACCCCCCCACCTCATTCCATCCTCTGGCTTCCCTCCACTCTTAAAGTCTTGTCATCTCCCATGTTGTGCTGCTCTCTAGAGCGGCGGTGCTAAAACTGTTGCTGGTTAAATATGCAGATTCCTAGGAATCTGCTCTAGACAAGGAGTCCTGTCCCCTAGCCAGCCCATGAGCAACCCAGAGCAGCCTGGTCCTCCTCCCTGAGCTCCCCCTACACATCCCCAGCCCATACCTGGTCGAAGAAGCCATTGACCATGTCCAAGTGTCCAGAGGGGTAGGTGGCAAAGATGCCAGCTGTGCCATTGGGGCCCGAGACTATGAGCTGGTTGTTGGCAAAGCCCCAGATTGCATCTGGTGACAGATTAGACACCAAGTGAGTGAGGGCAGAGGCCTGAGCCCCGTCTCCCCTCTCAGCTAGGCCCACCCTCCCAAGAGTCACAGGTGAATATAATCACTGCTTTATTATTCTGGGGTGGAGGGTGGAGGGGTGGAGGGCCTGAGGCTCCACTGTTGCCCAAGTCATTTCTTTCCCCTTGTGCCCCCCACCTTGGGCCTGTGTGTGAATGAGTCACGAGCCTGGGGCCTGGGCATGCCCCAGCTGTCTGTCATCAAAAGGCCTGGTGCCAGCAGGTCGCAAGCAGAGGGAGGGTGGTGGTGGAGGAGGGCAGGGTGGGAATACTCACCAAAATACAGCCCAAAAACAATCCCGGCACCCAGGAAGGCTCCCAGAGTCTGAGCTAGGGTGTAGACAGGCAGCTTGATCCAGGGCTCACGCGCCAGGAAGCACATAGCAAAGGTCACGGCAGGGTTCAGGTGGGCCCCTGCGCAGAGGGGAGATGGGACCTATTAGCCCCCACCTGCCACAGTAGGGAGGCCAGGATTCCCCCACTCCACACTCGCCTTCTCCAGTCCTGGTGAGCAGGAGTGCGGACAAGGGTTTCTTGTACAGGACAGTGGGTTGGACTACGTAACAGACCAACTCTGCTAATCTCCGATTCCAAAGTGAGAGTAGAAGGTGTTAGTATCAAGTTCCTTCTCCACTCTCCTCTTCCAAGGGGCCCAAAGCTAAGGCATGGCTATGCCCTGCCCTTGGGCAACTTCCCCCCAACCCCTTTTGTCAGGACACCTTGTGGGAATGCTGTGGAGGAGTGATGGCTGAGGGTGGGGTAAAGGCCTTACCAGAGACCTGGCCAGCAACAAGGATGCCCAGGGTGACAGCGAAGCCGAAGGCCAGGTTGATGGTGAGGAAACCACCATGGGTGCCCCGGCTGAGCACAACCTGGGCCACAGAGCCACAGCCAAACATCTGTGTTAGGAAACAGAACAAGGCAGGTAGGGTGAGGACTAGCTGACGACCAGCGACTCTCACTCCAGAAGGAAGGGATGAAGTCAGCAACCCCATTCCCCACTCTTGCCTTCATGGAAAGGACAGGAGGGAAGCCCTTTCCTGGAATCAGGCCCCACCCCCTCCTGCTGCAGTTATCCCTCACCCCCACAGAAGAAGCAGACATGCCCTCCTACCCCCAGTGTCCCAACTTTAATAAAACAGGGCTCTATGAAGGAGGCTGGAAGCCGAGTTTGCACCTGAGAACCCAGAAGATAACTGAACCATCTTCACTGATTTTTCTTGACTCTCAAGATGGGTAGGTGTATGGGAACACTCTCACCCTAGCAGTTCCTCCCCCAGCCCTTCAGGCCTGGCCCATAGTGGTGGGAAGGCTCTCACTCATCCGCCACCTGCAGCCGCCTGCCTCTCTGCCCCAAAGAAGAGCTTGGGGTAGTGGGGCACAAAGAAATAGAGAGGAGGCCAGAAGTGAGATTGAATCCACTTCTGAATCTGGGGTGTCAGAGCCCCTGCCTCTCTGTCCCCCTCAGCACCTTCAGCCGTCTTGACCTGTCCTTGTCCCAGAGCCTCCTCTCTCTACCGGCCCTGCCCTCCCTGCCCTCGGGGGTCCAGGTTTCCACTCAGATTTGGAGGTCCTAAAGACAGATTTGAGTGGCTCCCCTCACTAGCTGTAGTCCAGGAGCCCCAAGGCAATGGAAGTGGGGAGATTGGTTCTAAGCTTTCCGCCAGAAATGGGGGGATTCAAGAGGACTAAGGGCCCTTATGTCCTGCAAGTCAGAAAAGACTATTTCCTTTGTTTGAATGTTAAAACCGCTTCCATACCAACTGTAAAGACCTATTGTTCTGAACCCCCAGAGTGTTCTCCACAACCACTCCAGCCCCTACCCTGGCTCTCCTCTTCTACCTCTCCATAACTAAAGTTCTTATGCCTATCCAGCAGAAATTTCCCAAGACCTGTGCTGAGGGCCCTTGTTCCTTCTGATGGATCAGTGTCCTGCTGTACTAGATTGTTAAGCACTATGATTATCATCCTTCAGAAAGACCAAGAGATAGTGGGGAAGCCAGCGGCGGGCAGTGATGCAGGGCAAAGGTGTGCAGGCAGGTAAGAGCAAAGATCAGAGATGGTGTGTGTGTGTGTGTGTGTTTGTGTTGGAATAGGCACGTGAGGGTCTGGGGCACCTTGCCCAGCTTGGCAGGCCCTGGCCTCAGCTCCTTGGCTGCCTGAGGCCCAAACCTGGCTCCATCCCAGGAGGCCCTGGAGGGAGAAGCTGTCAGAGCCAGTTCCACCACCTTGAGACTAAACTTCCTCTTCCTTCCCCCCTCCTTCTCCCTCTCCTCACCTTACTAGGTGCCCCAGAGAAAGGGGCTTCCCTCATCCTAAAGCCAGCCCCGACTCTGCCACTGCAAGCTCTAAGCCCCCAACTCACAGACGTAGGCGGGCAAGCCCTCACCCACCACTCTGGGGTCTCCCAGGCCTGACCCCTCCTCTTTGGGCACTGACATCCAGTGCCTCACAACCACCTGAGCCCGAAGCCTTCGCAAACGGAACACCCTCCTTTTGTGGTCAAGGATAAGCCGAATGATCCTGGGGTTCAGCAGGAGGCCTGACTGCTCCTTTGAGGGGAGGTGACAGAGACTTAGGAGAGAGTAGGGAAGTCTTTCTGTGAAGGGAAGAAAACTTCCCCAGTCCTACCTGTTCTCAAACAGGAGGCTGGACCATAAATCAGAGAGGGAGTGGGGGACACAAGGCTCTGGGGTGGGAGGCTGATAAGCACCTTCCCGACTCCCTTCTTGGCATAAGAGAGAGGCGGGATGTAGATGACTGTTAGGGCTGCTTGTCTGGTAGGGGGCTGTGGATAAGGTGCTCCACCTGCTTCCCCCCTTCCTGCTCCTGGAAGCCAGAGGTGAGACTCAGCCCTCCTCTCCCCATGGAGCCTGCTCCTCCACCATCACCCATTTGGAGTGGGCCACCCAGCCCTACTGGCCCCTAGTTAATCTTCCCAGTCCACCAGGGGCTGGCTGGTCTGTGTTCCCTAGGGTTGGGGCTGGGGCATGGACAGAGTACCCCATCCACTGCAGTGGAGCAACTGAACCCAGAAGTAACCCAGAGGGAAACACGTGTAACCACAAGAGTGGCTGGAAATCAGGGAGTAACTGGGGCAGGAAGTGGAGCCCATACCTGCTGTGTCTGCCAGACCCAAGAAGTGCAAATAGAGTCACGGGAATGATCGAAACTGGCGTAACCAGGGAGTAACTGGGACTGGGGAGTAACCCAGACAGGGGAAGTGCCCCCCTCAGAGAACCCATAGAGTAACTCAGACACTGGGGAGTAGCTCAGAGTGCTTGGCATCTGTCTGGGTAACTGTCTGGGAGTCGCTCAGCACTTCGTGCCTGGGGCACAGCTGCCTTCCACATCTTTAGGATCCTCCTTCCTTCCCACTTGCTGTTTGCTGTGTGGCCTCCGCCCTCTGCCCCAGACACATGGCAAGCTATTCTCACATCACAGGTACTTTTGGACTTTCTGAGGCTTAATTATTCATTAGAGGCCAGGCATCCAAGACCCAAATAACCCAATAGGGGCCCATTTGCTACTGCCTTCACTGCCTCCCCAGGCTGGAACTCTGGGAACCTGGAGAGCTGTGGGAGCAAGAAGGGGCTGGAGGTCCCAGACTGCAGAGGTGACTGACAACCTGTGGGCTGGGTCACTGGTGAGAGGGTCAAGGATCAGAGCTGTCACTTGTGTGTAGCAGCTGTCATTCTGGCAAGAGTCAGAGCTGTCATAGATAGGGTTAGAGCTCTGGGCAAAGGAGTCAAGCTGGGGGTGGGGGGGGAAGGTCAGAGCTGAGAGAGAGGTCAAGGCTGTCTTTAAAAACAAAGCCCCTCGGCGAACAGGGGGACTCTGCTGTACGGCCAAGGGCGAATGTACGGTACAGACAGAAGAGCTTGGGGTATGGGGCACAAAGAATAGAGAGGAGGCCAGAAGTGAGATTGAATCCACT